CAGTGCCACTAACAAGAAGTTTCCTAGTGGCTTAGGACTGGCTGAACACCTCCTTTGCATAGACAAAAACATAAACCCATATCTGCGGGTGCCTAATTTACAAAAACCTGCTGATTTTAGAGTTCTGCAAGGGAGACCCCTCATCCCAATCTTCCTGTGCAGCTGAGTGATTCCTTCCTGCCAACATCTTCCTTTCCCCCTTCTCCCAAGGGGCTGCTCAGTCCCCTTAAGTCTTTTTTGGCTTGTTTACTAAATCTTCATTCTGCTCACTCATGATTAAGGACACTCAACTTAGGTATGATCCTCCACCGTGTGCTTTGGTTCCAGGGTTGACTCATAAGTAGAAGAGTCCTTAAGCCTTAAAAAGCAGATTGAAAACTCAGTAAACAAGCTGAAGAAGAGAAACTCAAGATAAGAAGTCCAAGTCTCCCGCTGCAGAGGCATGGAAAGCACTTTATATAATGTATTGTTGCAAAGAGGTTTTTAGTGACTTTGTAATGATTTATAGGTAGCCTTTTGTGTTTTGTACTTTTACTCCTCCCACAACCCTTGCAAGTCAAAGTTGGGTTTATTGTGTACCCATTTTTCCACATTTAGCTCAATAATTTTCTCATTTAAACACTGAGAAGCAGTATGCAGAATTGCTTGTTTTTTTCAAAAAGAACAAATGCCAAAGAACTTTAAGTAATTTCTTTTTTAAAAATGTGTTTCTGCAACCTAGCAATATAAATGTTCTGGAGGTATATTGGATATAAACTTACATAATCTTGGGTATATTTAAAAGTTTCCATGGAAACCATTTCTTTGTCAAAAGAACAACATTGCTCTGGGCTATTTGTAACCCACACCTAGCACTGTCCAGATCGGTATGGAGACCAGGAGGTGACTCTGATGTCAGTAAAGGAGTGGTCTTGGATGGTTTTAGCTTTTTAGCCACAGCAGAAGGTGCTAAGTAGCATTTCTGCATTATCCATACATGAAAACAGCAACAGTGAAAGAGCTGAGGCAATCTGACCCCTAGAAACAACCAAATGCAAAGACACCTGCCTTCCCTGGCAGGGGCCCTTCTGGTTATGTTAAGCGCTTCTGCAAGAGGAAATGAGAGTGCAAGGTCTCAGTTCTCGTCAAGCAAGGATATTTGTTCTGCATGCTGCAGGTTTTCCCTCCAGAATAAGCTGCTCTTCTAATGAGCACTGTTTTGACAGCAGCATTGCAGCCTGCCAGGAGCTGCTCCCAATGCAGCGCGTCTGTCTGCGCATCTGCAAAGGCGTCTGCAAAGCTGCAGCCCTGCTTCTCACACCGTTCCTCGTGCCTTCTTTTATCCAATTCTGCAAGACAAAACGGGAGGGGGAAAGGTAAGGGCAGACAAGTCCAGTGTGACCTTCCTCCTGCCTCCGGAAACACTCCAGTTTACAGGGGCAGTGAGGTGGAGCTGGGTTTGGAGCTGTCAGCAGCTGGGAGTCAACAGCAGCCCATCTCATCCACTTCAGAAATGAGCCCTGGCTGATTGGACAAATATTTCCTATTTACCAGCCTCTCTCCCCTCCTGGATAATTCTAGGGTTAATCCACCACGCCACCTCCTCAGCCCAGCCCCGTGATATTGACACTTAAGAAACACAGAGATGTTTATATTTCATTGGAGAGCTCATACTATCAATTTTCACATTAGTGAGTCCAGCTATTGCTCTCTTCTATCGGGATCTATTGAGTGGTGGCAGTAGAGATATCCGCTGTAGTGAAGGAAAAAAAAATACTTAGCTGTCTGATGAAATGTTTTAAATGCATAGGGTTCACCTTGGGGTTGGCTGCTGCTCAGATTTTATCCATTAATAACACGCAGGGCTGCCACACTACTCTCCAGGGCTGATAGGAAAAATAGTACCACTTACAGATCCCCTGGTTTGCCTCGGGGAGAGTGCACCAAATGCAGCACATATCATACATTTCGGGGCTGAAATTTACTCCACAAGAAGAAGAAAAAAAAAAAAAACCCACAACAACCCCCCCCCCCCAAAACATTCTCTATATTAAAAAACAAAACCCAACCTTATTCCTGAAACACAGACAAAGAGAAGTTGCCATGTAGGCCAGTAGTTGCAGACCTCGAGTGCTTTACTTATGCTATGAAATGCCTCTGGGCAAAACAGGGGCAAGATTTCAGTGTAAACGGCCTTTTTTAGCCTACTGCTCTGCAGGTTGACATTTCACCCAGCAGGGAGAAGAATCTGAATTGTTACAAGGAACCAAGCAGTAAAAAGTAGGCTCTTAGTAAGTCATCATCTTTCCAGCAAGAAAGTCTCATTTATTTATATTTTATTTTCTTTTTTTTTTTTTTTTTTTTTTTTTTTTTTTTTTACTACCCCTGAAACAATTCACAGGAAAATGATCATCAGAATAAGAATTGTTAACTGATTAGATTATTGTCAGCACTCGGTACAAGAACATCGCCAGGCGCTCAAGGGTAAGTATTATTTTCATCTACTGATGAGGCTAAGAAAGGATTGTGCACCCAATTCCCTGTGCATTAATGATCTGAAGATATTTGGGTTGGGTTGCATTGTTTTCCCCCTCTCTTTCAAAGTGAGCCACAGAGCTCTTTGCTGCCAGGAAGTGTTATTTAAGAATATGAGCTTCTTTTGTAAAGGGAAGGACATAATTAGATGTTAAGAACTGATTATTGCATTGTTCTCCACAGAGATTTCCAAAAGGCACAGCATTTGAAGAAAGAAGGGAAAGTATGCATTGTGCTTGGAAAATGAGAGATATCTGCCTTAACCATTCTCTGTCTCCATATCTGAAAACTTTACGAGACATGTAACCCAAATTCCAATTGCACATTTCCTGTGAGGAGCCCACTGGTCAACTCTACCTGCTGTGAGACTAGGGCTCCCACCAAAAAATCAGAAAAAATTCCCCATTTCCTCCAGAAGGAATTACTCAGAACAGAAAACTTTAATTTTTTAATTTTTTTTTATTTTTTCATTTTATTTTTGAAGGACTTGAAACAATCTGAACTTGCCCTGCACACTGCTGTTTCCTGCTACTCCAGCCCTGGGGAGCTGACGCACCTCAAGCTTCTTCATCTAGGCACTCAGAGGAGCAAAAGGTTTCTGTCAGGCAACCCTCAAGAGAAACCCTTGTAAGAAATAAACACCCCTGAGCAGGACCCATCCAACTCACCCAAACTCTAAATGTAGGACAGACCATGGACACTTATCCATGGTGCATGCAGAGATGATCCAGGCTTTAGGCTGATATCCACTAAGAATCTCCCATACTACCTCTCCCATGACATACTGGTGCCATCTAAGTGCCTTCCCCCCAAAAAAGTGTTAAAAATCACCCAAAAAGTGTTAAAAATCAAGCAGACAAGCCTCAGGCATTTCTCTGGAGGCTCCTGGCACAGTCTCTGGCAGATTGGTCAGGAGGAGCAGCCAACACAGACCTTCAGCTGCTGCTTGACTTCTGTTTGATTTTCAGCAGCAGCAGCTGGGAGGGGATGCCCAACTGACTTGAGCATTCACTTTATTACTCTTTTCACAAAGTCAGGACTGCTTCAGCTTTGCTTAATACCTCCTGAAGCCCTAGAGACATCACCTCTGCTGCTGCTTCTTCCTCCTCAGCCTTCATTGTGTATCATGCAGGATATGGAGCTCCTCTAAAACACACCTTAAAGCTCTGGTTCCTACCAGGAAAACCCCAGCAGAACCTCAACCCCTGTACTCTCCTGTTTCCCCTCCACTGCTGGAGTTTCCAGAAGTTCTGAGAAATGCTGTAGTTTTAAACAATTAGACTTCTTTCTAACATTTTCCCTTTCTTTCTAGGAAAGAAAATAGGACTCACAGCCTATTCACAGTATCCTCACCATTTTCCAAGGTTGCTTGAGGTATTTCATTATTAGTGTCTTTAAGGACCATTTTAAAGCTCATTTAGATAAAATTTTCCAACTACTCTTATCAGTAGTTTGCTCTAAAACCTCTTGGATGTCATACTAAAAAAAAAGGTCTAATCCTCAAAATATAATTTATATGAAACAGAAATGTAAACCATACCCTGTAATACATAATATTTGCATCTAAGCTACATATATAAGCACAGAGGAAAGGTGCAAGAGCATCTCATCCTTTCTGACCTCAGGTAAAAGGATTCTCATAGCCCAGTCATTCTTTTATAGCCCTTTTCCCTGCCCGTTTTTGTTTGTTTGTTTTGGTTTTTTATTGTTGGTTTTGTTTATTTGGTTTGTGGTTTATTTTCAGGTTTTATATTTGTTTTTTTGGTTTGGTTTAATTGGGATTTTTTGACTCCATGGGACCACAGATTCACCTGGATTAAAAAAAAAAAAATAAAAAATTAACCCCCCTACATATAAGAAATAAATCATTTTACCACATTTTACCATACTTTGTCAAAAATGGGCTTCTTCATGATCAGGCAAGTTCTTGGGACCAAAGCCTGAGCTGAAGTCACCACAGCTTTGGAGACAGGTGTTGCAGTCTTTCTTTAATCTACAATTACAGCCTTTAGCTGTATCACAATTAACACACTCCATGTGCCAAACAGTAACGAACTTGCCTGTTCTCTCTGGACCTGCTTCCAGTCTGAGGTGAGAACTAATGAATTGTCAGGGCCACAGGAGGAGGACAAGGACGTGGAAGCAGAGGGGAAGGAATAAGAGCACAAACATCTGCGTGTAGAGGACAAAGCTCCTCGCACTCTCCCAGGTTATGCAGCCACTTTGTATTTGGCAGCCAAGCCATCCCTTTTCTTTGCAATCACTCTGTTTGCTTAGGAGCAAACCCAAATGCAGTTTGCACCAGAGTTTGTTTGAACACATCCCTTCACTTCATTGCTGTGATTCGGGATTTTATTTTTTTGTCCCTTTCCTTCTATGCATCTTCATCCTTCATGGTTGATTTGGATTATGATGTAAACTAAGCGAACGTGACACAGCTGCTCTCTCCAATAACCAAGGAGATGCCGGCTGCCACTCACCCTGGCACTTTGGTGGTTCACAGCAGGGCTGCTGGGCTGATGGGGGCCCTCACTTTTGGCATCTGTCTATGCCATCCTCATGCCGTTTGCTGAAACAAAACCAGTGATGTTAGCAGCATATGGGCAGCCAGAACAGGGGTCATTTACCTTATTTGCCAACAAAGTAAAGGACAAGGCCCAGTGGAATGGGGATATTTGGAGAAGAGCTGGCAGCACGGTGGCAGAAGAGGAAACCACAGGCAGGAGGGATCCCAGGAGTCACCTCTGCCCATACGTCCCTCTCCCGTGACATGTGGAGTCTCAGAGCTTTGTGTGGATTATTTGATGTTAAATTCTGTGAGCTTTGATCAGCTGAGCTGACTCTGCCAAATTGAACTCTGGCTGAGGTGGACAGCCCACCTCAGATACAAAGCCTGACTCCAAACCTCACTGAAAGCTGAGAAAGGTTTTGTTGACAATCAAATTCATGTAACAGCTAACAGAAAATAAATCACTTCCATCTGCATGCTCTTGGACTAATAAAGGCTTGGTTTGAAACTGGAAGAGCCAAAAACCTGTCAGGGATCCAATCTAATTGTGTATCTAACCTGACCAGAAGTAAGAATAATTGGAAACCTCTCAAGTAGATTGTTCTCCTTAACTTACCGGGACAAGCCACACACCAACAGCTTGCACAGTCTGACTTCTGCAAACAAAAGCAGTCTGGATAATTTTGGAGAAGACACTGGGCATTCCAACTTCCAGGTTAGCTGTCTCTGTTTGCTGCCAGAAAAGAAAAAAAAAAAAAATTAAAAAAAAATAGGCACTTTTCCCTTCAGAGCTGTACCTCTAGGCACAAGGTTACAGCACTGGGCATGTTTTAACTCATAGGCTGTGCTGAAACAGAGAACTTGAGGAAGATGCTTAGCGAAGAAAAATAGCTCTGAATAGAATGATGTCTGCAGAAACCAGGGATGACAAATCTGCTGCAATATGAAAACATATGTATATGGCATTGTGAATTTAAAGGGTGCCCCACGTAGCAGACATAGCTCAGATATTTATTAAGACTCAGATTCATGAAAAATATCCCCCTTTTTGTTAGCCATTTTTGCCTGCAAAATTAAATTCACTTGTGTGTGGTCTCATAATATGTAAGTATTCTTAAAAAGTGCTACCTCTTTTTCTATGTCTGTAGCAATGCTTACCTAAGTCTCCATCCTCTTTTCAAAGTACCACTTATAGTACCTGAGAACCTATATATTTTTATAAAACCCTTCATTTTGGGAGTTCAGTATTTTCTAAAATTGTATGGGAATTACAGGCTCAGAGGGTGTTATTTCTATCTGATAATTTTACAAAAATGTTTACATTTAAAAAAATATTTCAGGTTTTTTGTGTGATTATTATTTAAAAAATGCTAAAAAATTGAGAAAATGTGATTTTATATCTTGCTCAAGTTTAAATAAATATAACCCCCTAAAAAATATTATCAGGCTTTTTAGTATTTTGTCAATAATATCAGGAATATACATTAAAATTCATGTTTCAATCCATGACCATGTGGCTCTACCTCTTGATTGCGTAAAATGTTTACCAAAAATCTTGAGTGTTTTAAAAAAATGAGCAGAGTTGTATCTATGTATGAAAAGTAAAAATGTTGTAAATAAGGGAGTTGGCTTTTTTTTTTTTTTCCTCTCACAGTTTCAAGCTCCACTTTCTAACTTAAATGCATAAAGATTTTTTTTTGTCAGCTTCAGTGCAGAGAAACATTAAAATTCATCTCACCCCAAACCTTTGTCGGGAAAAAAAGATGTTAAATATCAGCAAATGGATCTGATAAGCTGCAGACTATTTCTGCTGTCAGAGAATGACTGTAGGACAAAAACACATGTTCAGGATTTGACATCCCTTGGCATCTTGTAAATAGCCTGCATGAATCCACACCTAAAAACTGCCAACACAAGCAAAATTGTGCCCAAGTTTCTTGTAAGTTAAGCAAGCAAAGCAGAGACATGAAACGTGGTTGGATTGAATATAGAAACCTAAAGACCCCCAAAACTGACCTTGAGAGCATTTTAGCGAAAGATCTTCTCTGCACTTTTGCAGCGCCAGCCTGATTTTCTCTGTATAAAGAGCTCTGTGTGTGTGTGGATGGGTGAATGTGCAGGACTGCGTGATAAACACGTTATTAGGGAAAAAAAAACAACAACTTTCTATAGAAGAATGATAAGAAAAAAGAACTGCTGAGTAATACAAAATAGACCCTTCCTTTTTTTTTTTTTTTTTTTAAGGATTCATTCCTTATAAGAAATGTGAAGTAATCCCTTGGCCTGATTTTCTTCCACTTCAACTCCACCCCCTCACTGAAAGAAAAACTTTTTTTTCTGATTTGTGATTCAAAGGACATCTCTTCCCTGTCTGGATGGCAAATTGTTTTCTTCCTTTTCTGTAAAAGAACAGCAACAACAACAAATAAAAGGTTAAAAAGAAGGAAAGGAGGGATATTTAGAAAGATGAAGAGGAAATCTGCTTCAAGAACCAATTTCTTCTGATACAACATCAGTGTTTGTGCCACAGATACAAGAAGAGATTACTTCCCTTCTTTTCCCCAGCGCCCTTTTATTTCAATCTCTTGATTCTTTTTGGAGATGTTGGTCTCCCTTTCCTGGATTCAGGTTTGCCCACTGCCAGCAGGATATGTCAGAGCTTCTGGACTGAAGTGGAGAAACCTCTTTTTCCTGAAAGCATGGGGATTGTCTCAGCATTTGAGGGATGGATTATTCAGGGGACTGTCACAGCTTTAGTGGCATCTGCTGGAAAGCAAATCCACACTGTGGTGGGAGATGCCACAGCCATGCCTATCCCAGTCACCTAATGGGAGCACATTCCAAACTTTCCCTGGATTAATACAATTTTTGAATATCCTCTATAAAAGATCAACATCTCTGTAGTCCGTGCTGGCTTTAATTCGGAGTTTAGGGTCAAAAAGGACCATGAGGATGGTCCTACCCTCAGTGTGGCTGGGACCATGGTGCAAACACATGTGGGCACCAGGCTTTCCCCAGCCTGAAAAGTGAGAAGGGAAATGGATGGGGTCTGTGGAGCTGAGAAAGGTTATGCAGGAGTCAAGTGCTGTGTGCCAGGACATGGCTGGGCTGGGATCCGGAAAGTGATTCTCTCCAAAGGACGTGGAACAGCTGGCAGCATGCCTCCTCCCCTCCTCTTCCTCTGAAGCACCCTGGAGTCAGGATGCTGCCTTTGATGACTCAGTAGTCTGCTTGGCTGTGGCAGATCTTGTATTTCTGGAGAGAATCAATATAAACACTTTCTTTTGTATTTCCTTATTTTTTTTTTCCCCTTACCCATTGTAGTGCCTCTTATTTCACTGTCTGCTGTCTGTCCCCAGCACCAAAGGAAGCTGTGATCCCTAATTCCCAGTGCTGCCCAGCCTGCTATAAAACTGCTCAGTGTGAAACGTAATATGCAAAAAAAAAAAAAAAAAAAAAAAAAAAATTCCTTTTTTTTTTCTTTTTTTTTCCCCCCCCTCCTTTTTGGCAGGCTTTGGAAAAGGCCTGTTTCCTGGCAGGAGAAAAAGCCAGCCTTGGCTTCAAGCAGCCACTGACAATTCCCAGCATATGGTAAGAGAGGGAGCTTCCGCCTACCCCATCAGGTAAGTGCCATCTTCCTTACTACAGCAATGATCGATGTCACGCTTGGAGAGCGCTGGCTACTGGGAGAGGAGCCAAGCGGCCAACTGGCCAGTACAAGGGAACAGGTCAGGCTGGACAAGGCCTCTGGGTGAGGAAAGCATGCTAGCATAAGCATGCAAGCAGGAAACGTGGTGTCTTAGTGCACCGTCATCTGCCTTGGGTTTTTGGCTCCGCAGCCGAGTTCGAAAGGCTTAATTTGCTTACGCTCATGCTCGGGATTAAGTGCTTTCCAAAGGTGGATTAGGGCTTTTTTGCATATGCCTTTCAGCACTGTTTGTGTGCTACTCCCTCCCTCCTTTCTTTTTTTTAAAAAAAAAATTTCTCTTCCAGTCTTGCTATTCTCATAATGAACTTTTCCATGTTGGTTAGGAGAAGACCTGGTCCGATGTCATTTCCAGCTCTGCTCATTGAGTCCATGTTATTTTGGAGCAGTCCACCGCAGTTTCCTTGGAGTAGCCCAACTTTTGCCCTGTTTAGTCCTGGGCAATGTTTCAGCCCTCTGAATGTTCAGTGCTCTGCAGTATCACAGGAGGGTTTGGGAACGTCAGAGCTGCAGAAGGAGGACTGTGCACGGCTGCAGTGTGCCTGGGAGGGGGACAAGGCTGTGTCACGATCCCACCCTCCCCACAGGGCCCATGGCACAAGGAACAGGATGAAGAGTGGGCTCTAGGCCCCCTTGAAATGTCCATGGGATGGGCTCTGTCTCTGCACAAGGCAGGTCTGCTCCCCAGGCTCCCAGTGCACCTTCAAAGCCCCACTGAGCCATTAAGACCAGTTCCTCAGCTGTAAATCAAAGCAGCTCCATAATACTTTTTTCCTCTCACCTGAGCCCTGACCTGGAGGGACCACATCTTGTGGAGAGAGGGTAATTCATTCTCCATGCTCACTCAATCCATAGACCCTCGGCCAAGGATGCTGATTATTGCTAACCGGGGTGCTGTTTTTTATTGTCCTGGCAGGGCTGAGAGAGCCCTAACTCATTTCACATTGAGCTCTGAACAGCCACTGCCTGGTAGGAACTTCTGGTGAGGACCAAACCGAGCTGCTCTCCATTTATCCTATGGAGGACTGTGCACTTTGCAGCTCATTCTCCAACACAGAAATAAACTGCCAGTGGCTTCTCTTCTGGCACAGATTGATCTAATACAACTGCCTCAGCGCACACTGTTTGTGCAGACAGTTCCAGTGCACATTACTGTCATTTCTGATGCCCTAAAAGCTGCTGCCTTCTCCCTCCCATGCTCTTAAATACCTTAAATGCTCTTAGAAAGTGTGGTGACACTTTTACAGGTGATGGGGCAAGGGTCACAAGCTGAAACTTTGCATGGCAAGAGATGCAAACAACAGATTCCCATTCCCTAGGAGGGAAGCAGGATCTGATTTCCTTTGTCAGTAGTTTCATTCTTTGTGCCACATAATTACAGATAAACAAAAAGAAACACGCAACACGCCTTCAATTAAATTCAGAGTTTTCCGATTGCCACATTAATGGGAGGAAGGTTATCCCAAAGAAGTGCATCTCTGACTGCTGTGGGAAATCCAGCTGCAATGGGAAGTGTGAAGTAGGGAGTTACTTTCTAGAATCTGTTGTAAAAATCTGAGCTGAGCCATAGCTTTACCAGTCAATGCCTGAGTGCCATCAGTGACCAAAAGTGCTACAGGGATGAGGAGCAGAGCCATGCCCATAAGTTTATTCACCTAAACTATCAGGCAGCAGTGGGTGCTGATCAGCAAAACAACTAATGCAACTCATTTTCAGGTGTCTGTGTTCATGGTGAACTGATTTTGTGCCCTTGCACTGGAAATATATGGGTGTTCATGCTGCAGAGGTGTTTTAAAATGTTTATCAAAAGCCAGAATATTAAAGTAAATGCTACAGGTAGACCACTGCTTCAGTCCCAAAATTCTGGGCAAAATGTCTGTTCTAGAAAGACTAGCATATATTATTACATTTTTCCTTTCAGATTTTTTTAAGTGGGTTTGAATTTTTAATTATAAGGTCTTTTCCTTTTATAGAATTTGTTTGTTTTTTTCTATGATACACATGTCAATCAAAATGTTATATAGCATGACAAACAGCATATACTTTGATCCAGAAAAATAGAAAATCTGGTATAATTTTATAGTGTTATAATCATCCTTTTGGTTTTGAAGTAAACTAAATAAGATAAATATTTCCAGAATTACATTTTTAATGTACTGCTAATACTATTGGCACAACATAAAACGTTTACTATTAAACTGGGAAAGAAAAGGTCAGTATTTTAAACAAACAAATTCCATCCCAACATGTTTCTACACAAAATATCCACTTAGCCTAATTAACTGCAGCTCCTGAGCATCAGTGGATGGATTTTCACATTTAACAAGTTCCATGGAGCTCGGCAAGAATGATTATTCCTTTTGAATAGTCATGCTTAAAGAATATTGCTGCCCATCATACGGGATTCATTACTGCTTGGTTTCAAGAGTCTGTCATCCACAGAGGGAGCAGGAATGATTCCATATGACTTAGGTGACAAATCATAAAACATAAAAAATGAATAGCTAACAGCTGTCTGGACTTTTCCTGATGCAAACAGTTTCCTTCAGGTTGATATTTCCTCATGCTCCTAATTTTACAAAAAAGACAATCCAGATGTTCCAGCTGCACAGCACAGGTATCTCCAATGCAACCAGCATCTACAGAGAGATCACCAAAGGGCTTCTCTGATTTTCTCTTCTTCCCCTTGTCTAGCCTTTTTTTTTTTTTTTTTTTTTTTTTTTTCAGTTTTTTTTATTTCTCCTCAGCAAGAGTAAAACTTAAGCATGGCCAGGTGTTTTCACTTCAGAGACTCCAATGGCAACAACAACTCCAGTGCTTTGGAAGCTAACAAATTTGTTGTGTCACAATTGATAATCAACTCTAGTAAAAGAATGTCCAAATCAATTGAGCTTTAGCAAGGGCAAACTGACTGGACACAGCCAGACTCCCAGCAAAAGTAGGCCAAGCTTGATAAATTTGCCCTTATTATAGCTATTGATGTTTAAATTTCTTCAGGGATGTTGTTACATGGGTGCCTAGTGGTGACAGAGGTACGATGACCTCCTTCGATCCTTAATCTACACCTGTTAGTTGGTTCCCTAGTTGCTTGTGAGTATACTCAAGCTTAAAGGTTAACAAAAGAAAAACAGGCCAAGTTTACGCGACTGCAGCAACGGATCAATGCAGAGTAAATAACCTTCTCTGTCTTATTTCCCCAAGCATTATTGATCCGAGTTCTTTGTTCTTTGTCATGTTTCTGTCTTCTAATCCCAGGGGACGCTAAACGATCGGCTCATATTGGACATGTTAACTGGCACATTATGACAGCTACCATTTTGTCACTCAATGTGGTGCTATATATAAAGAACCCTCGGTTCAGGGGTTTCTGAACTGCTCTCTCCAAAACCAGCCTCCCGTACCTGCTTTTTTCTCTTGGCTTCTTTTGTCTGCTCACCCCTGCCCCTTAGGTATTTTATCTAGAGGTCTGCTATAAAACTAGCCTTTTTTTCCTTTTATTATTCTTATTAATTGTGCTCCTAAAATTTCCCCATCCTTAAAGATGGACAATAATCCAACAGTTAAAAATAATAGACACTTTTGCAGCATTCAGTGCACGGCAGGAGTTTCAGGAAGCAACAAATGCTGGTATCAATTCTGACCTGTCGGGGCTTGTTGTTTTTTATTTAGGAACAGGAGCCCTTTCCTTTCATTATCAAGGTTACATTTAAAGGATATTGTGCTTTCCTAAGTGTTCTCAATGGATTTCTATGGGATATTACAGATATCACTCTATCCACACTGAGCCCAACCTCTGTCTTTCAGTCGAGTGGATGCTCCAAGTACCTTAACGGCTCTATAAACTTGCAGATTTGTGGTGGAAGTCTGTGTTCACTGGGAGACTATTGGATTTCTAACAAAATTAATTGGATTTCCTTCCTTCTGAATGCTCCCTCTACATGCCTATCTCTGAATAAAGACTTGCCAATACTAACTCCCAGAATTATACAGAAGAAAAAAGGGGGAAAAAAAAAGAAACGACATGAACTTGGAAGGCATGGCAACCTACTATTGCTTATTTAGCCTTCCTCACACTTTATCTAGGACACAGAAAAAGCCTATTCTAAAAGAAAAAGCATTTCCCTCCTGTGCCAAAAAACTCCCAGCAAGGGATCCAATCACTGGAGGAAGTGTTGCGTGCCTTTCTGTCACGGCGAGGAAGAGTCCATTGGCTGAATGGTGTCATATGGATTTAGGACTCCAAAATTCATAAGGCATTTCTGGGTCTGTCTGGCACTTAATGGACAGCGTGATATAGATAGAGGGAGTAGTAGTACATTTTAAACCCAAAAAGAGAATTGATAGTCGGGAGGTAAACTCCTGCCTGCTCCCCCTGTATAGCATTTCACTGTACTAGCCATCACTAATCACCGTGGAAATACACTCTGTCCACTGGACAATAATAGCATTATGACTTTCCTGCCACACAATCTTATCTTCCTCTAAGTCCCAGCTGAGTCAATCTGTGCTTTGAACAGGTATTTTTGCTAATGCAAAGGAATCCAGGGGAAAAAAAGCCGTTGTATATTTCAATTGAATTTCAAGTTCCTTCACGTCTCCATAGCTGATAATTAAACCAACTGACCTGCTTCTGCATCGAAGCCTGCAGGAAATTAAGCAGATAATACTCGTTAGGTAGATAGGCTTTGGGGGATAGTTTATTAAAAGAAAAAGAAAGAGCCCCCAACCAAACAAATAACATTGAACTGTGAGTTTCAGAGCAGCCTCATCACTTGGCTATGGGGGTCTCCCCCTTTTTTCCACTGATAGCAGGGTTGGAGAAACATTAGCAGGAGCTCTTGAAAGGAGAACCAAAAAAAGAGATGTGAAGAATTTGTCTCTGCTTGGCTCGGTCATTCATGCCTGAAACCCATCTCAAGTATTTAGTAGATTATTCCAATATTAATCTTTCACAGATGACATGTCCCTGTTTTTCTTTCTTTTTTTCTTTTTTTTTTTTCAGTGCAAACCACTAAAATATGCTAAAGCCACAACTGGAACCTGGTTCAGTGTCTGTCTACAGAAACTTATTATTTGATTTGAAATGGTTTTGTTTTCTTTCGACATGCTGGAAATACATCCTTAAAAGACATTTTCATCTCCATAAAACACTTGTGTTTTTTGGACTTGCTGAAAAACTGAAAAATCCAGGGGTCAACCAGATTTAACAGTTAATTTATTCATTATTTGTCTTTCCAGCTGCAATTATTTTGGGGCAAACCCAACATATGTTAATGTTTTTATAGTATGCCTAAAATGTCATCATAAATTCAAATTATTAATAAAACTGACATTTAAAAGTGGGAGATACCTTGTATGTGGGCAATATGTGTTATTCTAGTTGAATTTTTTGCTCCATATTTTCAATCAGCATGAAGATCTTTTTCAAATAGGAGATTTATGGCATTGTTGTCACTAAAGGGCTGGCTGGCTGCAGAAAGGACACATATACATAGTTCATATATCCACCAGAAATTTAGCATTCACTAGAATAATGAATTTCTTCTCCTAAGTGAGGTACACTTAGGAGTATTTTTTTTTTTTATTTTTATAAAAGTGCATTGTCCCTGTCCTGCAGGTGTCAAACAGCATCTCTGTTTTGCATTTCTATAATAGTGTTTAAAGGGTTTGAATTATTCTATTTATTATGTAGCAAGTTCACCTCTTCTCCTCAGTAGGATGTTCTGCAAACTGATCTCACTGTTAGGGTGACATCACTATGTTAAAAATAAGCCATGGTGGCATATCTGTGATAAAAAATAATATTATTATTCAAATAAAATTATATTTCAACAGTGCAAAGCTCCCAGTGTGTTTGAAGTGTATATTTAAAGGAGACAGCCCAAGCTCTCTGTTGTGAGAGAAATGTTATATTTTACTATAATATTTTTATGTGCCTATAAAATGTGATGAAAAAAAGCCCATCTCAAATGATGCCTTGTTTATTTATTAATTTGGCTTTTTCAGCTGTCAGCAATTGAATCCCCTTAGATATGGAAGAAGTTCAGATTTCCTGATCCTAAATTCACTCTCCTTTTGGACACATGCAGGTGAGGGACCATCCCAATATTTAGAATTTCAACTCTTCTCTCCCTTTAGGTGCCAGATCCACTCCTGGATGTGGGAGCAGCCTCTGAGGAGCAGACTAAATCTGGCTTATATGAAGGTGTTCAGGGGGAGATTTTGTTTTGTTTACCTGTGTTGTTCTCTCAGCCTCCACACAGAGCACTCATATCCTCCAAACAGGGAACAGCAGCCAGTTCTGCATTTCCATACAGTTTGTGCTTTGACAGGACAGCAGTCATATTCTCAGAAACCACCAGGGAATAGGACTGAGCAGCCTGTATTCTCTCCTACAAGGGGCCAAGTCACACAAACTGTGAGAATTCTCACAAAGCTGGTTAGCAGATTGAGGTTAAGTGCTCAACTGACTAAAAACTGGTGGAGGGGGAAACAGATATGTTGGTTCCTAAATCATACAAGAAGGCTCAGAGTGTTGTGTTTGGGTATTTTTTTATTTTTTTTTTTAATTTCTTGAGAACAGCTGAGAGGATTCTTGGTTTCCTTCAGACTGTGATTTCCTTCAGGAAGCTCTGAGGAGTTCAGCTGACCCTGCAAAGGTTGATTTCAGAGTTTTCTCCTGGCAAGTGGGTCATTGGGTAAAGGACTAGAGAGACAGATGTGCCAGAAGCTCTTAAACATGTCAAAAAAGATACTTTGCTTCTTCTTGTAGGAGACAACTCTGTTCAGTATTGTATAAGATACTTCTGATTTTGCTTATGGAATAATGAGACTCTGCCACAGCCCTCAGCTGTGGTAAACTGGTGTTAATTCCATCAAATTTCGTATACTTAAGCTGACTTGATCTAGCTGGAAAAGTGGTCCAGGGTCAGAGGTCTGTATACTAAAAAAAGTTTGTTCTGAAGTGTGTATGCATGTATAGGCTCATGTACAGCTTGGCTGATTTCAGATCTTGGAGAGTTTTTGATGTTATTAGTAATATTCCTCCTTTCCCCTCTTTTTAAAAAGGACATTTCCATAAATAAAGCTTTTAGACTGTTCAGCAGATTTACCTCCTGCCCTTTCAGGCACGCCCTAACCTCTTCTAATAATAAAAATGTTATCTTAGTCTAAAAAGTTATTCTTGTCCTTGATGTGCATTTTGTACTGCTGTCAAGGGCCAGAAAATAAAGAAATCAGGGGCAGTGTGAGGAAGGGTCAAACTAAGCATGGAAAGATTCCTCTGCCTTCCTGTAACATACAAATCAGGATTGTTAGAGCAAACAGCCACCAACGAGCCACATTATTCATAACACTTCACAGTTTTCTCATGGAAGCCGACAAATGTGCATTGCCTGAACATATTTTGTTAATTCGTTGGGTTTTTGCTATGAATACAGCTGAATAATTTCAGAGCATTTTCCTGACAGTAATGAGTGGTGCTTTGTACCTTCCCTGGGATGCACATTACTACTGTTTTGCTCATTTTATGGATTGGCAATCTGAGGCATAAAAAAAGAATGGGTCAAGTGCAGGATTATGGAATTAAAAGGAGCCTTGACAATTTTTAATTACTACCTAATATTCTAGAAAAACACTAAAATACATTATTAATCTGGGTCCTCAGTTATTGGAAGGATAATATTTTAGAGAAGAGTCAATACATTTAATTAAAAGATGGCTAAGTATTTATTGAAAGCATGATATTTTGGGGAAGGATTATAACATTTAACTAAAACACGGCAAAGTATTTTTGTATTGCTTAATGAATCTTTAGATGCTAGAAACCTTTGGACCATTTGTTTGATCTTCATATTTAAACATGATTTTAACAGTAACAGTTCACCCATGGCACTAAGAGACATCAGTTGCAGAAAAACACACTAATACGGACCAGATCTGAATTAAACTGTGTTGATGGAGATAACCAGTTGCATATGTTTTTAGTTAGCAGGAGCCAAATCAGATAACCACCATACAGAAACACTGGGCCTGATGGACAATTTTTTTTAAAAAATTATTTTTTCTGAGAAAAAACTGGATTTCAGCCTGAGTCTTGGTTGCTACGGTCGTCCTTTTGTACTCGGGAATCAGGAAAATGAAATTCTGGATAAAGTGAAAAGATGACTGGAGAGGAAGGAAGAGCAAAGTATGTGAAGGGCAAAGACATAAACATTGGTGCTGTTCTCTTCATGTTACTAGACAAGGACCTTCTATCGATTTCTCCGGGCATGCTTGCACTTCCTTCCTTCAGTGACTAATGATACGCCCTTTGGGTTATGATGACACTGCATTTCATAGGCCTGCAGGTCGAATTCCTGATGTATTCTCTGCCTGGCTCTCACTTTAAGTCATTGTCCTGCTCCAAGCCAGGCTCTTCTCAAACGTGAGGCAAATAAGAAAGGGAGATAATTTACGTCGTGCATCGCAGGTTGGAGAATAAAGCGCAAGGCTTCAAGTGGGTTCAAACATAGCTGGAGATTGTCTGAAGCCTCATTTCCAGTCCGTGGCATAGCATCGAGTCTGGTGTCTGTAATGTTTTTCTCACAACAGTTTCCAGAACTCTGTTTCCTTCTGCAGGAGCCCCAAAGTGCATATGTGTTAGGCACACATTTCCTCGCCCACCTCTGCGTTGGAACACAGATTTGTTTTAACTTTGATTAACAATCCTCCACAGAAATTTAAAGAAAGAAGTGACTGATTCTTCTCTCACTTTCAGTAAATTAGGAATAATTCCCCTCTCCCTCCCACCCCTAGGCCATGGAGTTAACATAAATAATGTGAAACTGGTGAAGGTGACAGAAGAGTTAGGCTAAAAATGAAGAAACCTACTGCCTTCAACTCTGAGAATATGGGGCGCAAATTATATCTCGGCCTATTTAATTGCCAGGCAAAATGTGGGACAAGAACTCTTGGGGGCTCCCAGTCACCAGCAATATGAAGGATTTGATATAAGTAGCCCGTAATAGCTGCTCTGGACAACCTTCTTCTCATGTTCAAGAAGCAAAAACAGCAGGAGGTTTTCAGAAGCGTGAAGAAGTAAGCATCTGACGTTCACTTACTTTTAACAAAAGTTTGTCCTATGGCAACCCTGAGTGCCTTTGAACATATCAACCTATATTCCACCAGAAAACTAGCTTTTGTGTACTGAACTACCCAAGCTTCCCCAGTAACCACCTGGAAGACAACTAACACCACCAATGAGATTCAAATTAATGGCACATAACCTTGAAATGACTGGTTTGACATCGAGGTTTTTGGGGTTTTTTTTTCCCACAATACTTAACACTGTTTCTACCATCTGGAAGAATACTTTTGTGAAGCCAGAGATCCCATCATTTAATGTGTAAAATTTAGGTTGTCAATCAGGATGCCTAAATAGCTCATGTTTGTAACAAAATGTAGCTATCAGGCTTTTTCTTGAGTGTTTCATGATGTAAATGGGAATTACTGATCCAGAGATTGAGTTTTCAGCTCTGATTTGAAGTTTCCAGTCTCTCAAGAGAATACTCTGATTTGAGAAAAACTTAGAGGGCATAAAAATACATTCCTAATAGTCTAAAAAAACCACTGATATTGAGAAGCCTCCAGACTTTTTTCCACAATTTCCTATTCTTACTTAGTAGAGAGAACAGCTTAAATAAATGCAGACACACTGTCCCTGTCTCGCCTTCATTTGGTGCTAAATTCCCCAGAGAGGAGAGAACTATTTCTCAGCTGAAGTCTGGGGAACTGCCTTTGGTTCAACATTTCCTTCTTGAGTTGCACAGTCTTTATGCTGCTCTTCTGCCAGCTGTTGATAGGAGAGGTTGATTCTTAGGGCTTTATCATGTTTAATCATTGCTCTGGTCATTACTTAGGGTGGTTCATGTTCCTTCTCCTTTTCCCCATCTGCCCAAACACATCAGCCAGGGGAGCACTGGGTAAAAAAGGTTTCAGACCAGGTGCTGTGGTCCCACTTGTTCACCTTGGCAGTGTTGAGAAGCATCAGTTTGGCTGGACACCTCAAAAATCTGGACTCAGGGCACACAGACCAACAAGGATGGGGTTGGAAAGGGAAGAGAGGAACTTTCCAAACACTCCTCTGGCTGCTGAATGTGGGGGATGACAGAAACTGGGAAAGCAGAACAATCATTCAAATTCCAGTCAAACTCCAGTGTATTCTTTGAAATCCAATGAGGATGTGAGGTCAAGCTTAGGCAGGACTCACACCCATAACATGTGAGCCGCTCAAAACTGCCTGCCACAGGCCAGTGAAATGAAGACACACAAATCTGAAGGCAATTTCTTACTCTGTTGGAACTGTTTTTCCTGTTTCATTCCTCTTCCTTTTGCTGCCACCATTAGGAGGTGCTGGCTGGATGCTTTCAGAATGGTGTTCCAGTGCAGAAATACATTGCACCAGCTGATAGAAAAATACACTCACATACAGGGAATTCCTGAGCCGACTGCTTGTTATAGAAATATTATTCAAGAGCCAAAATTATGTGATCCTTCTTGGAACAAAAAGACCATGAAAATCAGCAAGAATTTTCCTCCATTGAGGATCTGGAAATCTATGCCATCTCTTAATATCCAACAGACTTCACAAGTATCTGGTGTGATTTTTTTAAGTGAAACATATGATAGAAATGGAAAGCTTAATCAAGTTTCCTGAGCTTACTAATTACTCATTCTTTGGGTTTATTTTCTTCCGTGCTTTGCCTGACAATTGAACATGGCAGAGACGTAAATCTGAGAGGTTTGTTTTGCTTTCAACTAGCTCTTAAAACACCTTTTCTATATACACACAGAGATTAAAATAAGAAAGAAAGGATGTCAGCTGTATGATAACAATGAGGAATGGCTGGACAGAGGATTGGACTCCTTAAAATGAGTATGTTTGCCATCCCACGATTGATGAATTACCAGGGATTTTAATTGTAAAGCTCTGGCTGCTATTGCCATATTTCACAGACTAGGATTTGCAGCTATTTCATCTACCTGTAATTTTATTTCTTTACCAACTGCCTGATCATGAGAAACAATAACTGTCAGCAGTGTAAATTCCCACAGGACTTTGAAGATTTACTCTGACTAACTACAGATCCATCCAATATCTCTCCAGATCAGTCTCTACCTGTCCCAGACTGAGATGTAATGTGGCTGTAGACTGTAACTGTTTACAGAAGTGGGAGCCTTCAATAGGTCAGTGGATAAAATCATTCCTATTCCTCCACAGTAGTTTGTAAAGTTTCCAAAGGGCTTTCCAGGCTTTCAGGATGAAAACCACTATATAAATGCAAGATGCCATTATTATTTATTGTTTCAGTTTGACAGAAAGATGGAGGGTTTCATTTTGACTTTATATTTCCACTTCGCCTTTGTTTCATAACTTTCTGACATGCAGAATTTTCCTTTGTATTCCTTGCAAGCCTTACAACCTCCCTGTTAAGGCAGAGAGGTTGGGAATGCTGCAGCCACAAATAAGAATTAAATTAGAGCAATTTTTAAATTATTTTTGTGTTCTTATGACATACTAGAGATCATACTAAAGGCCCCAATTTTCATTGTCCTGTATCAGAGACTAGCTGGTTCAGGATTTTCCAAAATCCACTTGTGGTAAACTCTGAAAGGCCCTTACAAGAAGAGATTTTTTTTCTTTTTTGCAGCCTTACATTCCTGCTAACCTGGGCCCTCAGAAATAATATCTTACATTGCTGTGAAAAAAAGTTTCTCTGCTGTCTTTAATAGCAGTTAATTTTATTTTACAACAGTAAAGAGGGTAAAGGATAGGAAAACCAAATAGCAGGAATTACCTGTTTTTTTTGAATTTGAATAGATACAGTTTGCATGTATCTGAAAAGCAAGATATCCACCTCATTATTGTCCCTAAGACAATATTTTTTTCCCCTTTAATTCATCCCATAGTATTCTGTGGTGAGAAACCCTATTATATAATTATGCTATGAATACTATTTCTTCTTAAATGTTTGATTTTTGTAATTTTTTTTGTAAATTTTGTTCTAATCTAAACATTATTTGCTTCTACCTTGATCAATCCACAGCTTTGTTGATCACAGGGAAAAAACTTCTGTTCAGTATGGCTATTCTTCTTGAGCCAGTTGGAGTCTCAATCCAGTGTCATTTTAAAGATCCTTTAGAACAGTGGATGAGAGACTCGGCTCTGATCCCATTACCAGTTTTATTTCATCTAAAATGCCTCTGAGAGAGAGAGGCTCCCTTATCTCTGAGTTGTGCAAACACACCGCTGCACACTGATACAAGATCTGTTGTGAACCGTGTAGGAAAGCTGGTGGTGAGTGGAATCCTAAGCATGTGAACCCAGCAGGTGAAACAGGACAAGGGGAAGGGATGAGGTCTGTGGCTGTGTCCCAGATACTGGAGGAGAAGACAACTATTTCTGCAGTGCACAGAAGGGAGAGGAGCAGCCATCCAGTTTGATGGATGCCATCATTGTGTTACTAACACTAATATCTTTAGCACAGCACAAAAAGGAATTAAAGGAGGCGTGTGCTGTCTAACATATTATGGTGCTCTGTAATCCCCCAAATGCTGAAATAATCATGTAGACATTTTTTTGGTGTTGTTGTTTTAGTCATAATTGCTCCAGTGTCAAATGAGATTGTAATGAGAAGTGGAGCTGTTACAGAAAGTTCACTGTTCTGGAACTTCTGTGAGATGGTGTCAAATAACAACTTTTTTTCCCCATGTTTTTCCCACTTTTGCAGCTGCCTCTTCATTGCCTGGTTTGGAGACTGACTCAGAAAATAAGACATTAAGCTTTAAAGCTAGCTGAAAAATAAAGGGTGGAGATGTGAAAAATGTCAGGGACTTGGCATTCTTCTTTTCATTAGCTTTCAAACTTTTACAACATTCCTTAATAGTGTTGTTTAATACTGGTTGTTCCAGCTACTTTTAGAAGATATTTTGGAAGACATGAGGCCTAGATATGCAAACAAGAAGCCTGATGACTTGAGGCATAGACCAACCAAAAATTATTTCCAGATGTTCTGTATGGATCTGATAAGGCAGAATCTGGTGTTTCATTAGGGTTTTTTTGAAACAATCATGCACAACAACATATAGGTTGAGATTATCTAAGCTGAAGACTGAACTTGTATGAAAAATACTGTATGGATAAGAATATTTTGGACCCATCCTTCAGCACGTTTGTGTGCCAGTGTTTGCACAGTGTGTGGCTAATGTGTCATTTCAAAACCACGGCAAAATGGTTACAGCTGATGACCATTCACAGTTATTATTTTATTTTTAAGTCTCCACTCATCCTTGCAGATCCAAAGAGGAGTAATTGTAGCTCACAGAAGTTAACTAGTACTGGCTCTCTTCTAGGTCTACTCTATGATCTGCAAAGAGCATTTAATGTTAGAATTGGCCTTTTCTGCTACTGACTTATATTTTTGCTTGATTTCACCCTCAGCTGAACAGGAGCTCCTGAGTTCTTGCATGGAGCAATGAAAAATCTGACTCTTGCTCACTTTTGAATACTTAAATGAAACACCTGAGTTCGGAGACCTGGCTGTAGGACAGAGGGACAGTGCCAGGGAGAAAACCTTCTCTAAAGATCATTGTGGGAATTTAATTTAATATCTGGATGTGTTGTTCTTTCTCTGTCAGCCCAGAATACCCAGGGCTAGCAGATTCCCATCCACTTCAGACCACTGCCTCAGGTTATATTAAATGAATCCAGACCTCAGATGAGCTGTCTCAAGAAGAGAAAGAAAAAAAAAAATAAAAAGATATCAAAATCAAAACCATACACTAATATGTCAGTAAAACAGCAAAGAAATAAAGGGGGAAAAAAGGGATAAAAGTACCTGTAGGATGAGAAGTGCAGCTCACCGAGTATTTCCATCCTCCAACTGCTCCCTCTGCTGCCTGCGAGACAGTGAGGGCAGCCAGGAAGGGATGTGGTCTCCGTGTGGCTGCCCAGGTGGGCTCTGCATCCTTCTTCCTCTCCCTGCTCTCAGCATTAGAGATTCCGACAGTTCCTAGATAAAGTTAAAGACTCATGTAGTGATCTTCACACTAATTGGACTGTAATGTATAGCCTCGGTCAAGCAAATCTCTCCCAGCACTCCTCTCCACAGACAGCAATCAAGCCATTTACAGAAGATGCATCGGCTGCTGGGACCCTGGAGTAACCTTAAACTGCGCTGGCCTTTTAGCAGAAAACACAATTAATTTTGATACTGAAGGGCAATTAGGACTGGGGTTAAAATAAAAAATCTTCTGAACAGAGAATGTCAAAGACTGGGAAGGAAACTCTCCCTGCATGCAGTGTGTTGGAGGTCTGTAAGCACAGCAACCGTCAGCTCCCAGTTATTCAGGTCACTTTAGAAACACCCTGTTTCCACAGAAGAAATGTAAATTCAGATTAATAAGCACCATGCTCAAACCCCACTAAGACTGATTGCCACTTTCTTTCAGTCTTTGCTGCCAGAGTGAGCACAGCTTCTTCTCGTTCTTGCTGAGGAAACCTGCTTTACATCCCAGAATTTAGTGAAATGACCAAATGCATTTATTTTGTGCTGTTTCATTTCCAAAGGAAAATGCTCTCCCAGCTGACACTCTGCAAATCTCGACTCAGAGCAAATCATGTCAGCAGCTCTGTAAACTTCTTTTCAGAAGTACAGAAGGTGTTTACAGTAATACATATCTACATGCACCGACATGCCCCACATATATACATGCACCACATGTGCCCTAGGCATACCTGAAAGGCAGCCAGAATTTTGGCCTCACCTGTGCAAAAGGCTAAAGCCCATGTGACTCTCCATAACTTTACTGTGAAGGTGGTGAGGCCCTGGCACAGGATTCCCAGAGAGGTTGTGAGTGCCCCAGCCCTGGAAGTGTGCAAGGTCAGGTTGGATGGAGCATTGAGCAATCTGCTCTGATGGAATGTGTCCCTGCCCACAGCAGGGGGTTGGAACTAAATGGTTGAGGCCCTTTCCAACCAAACCATTCTATCAAGCTTTTCTATGAACTCAATAAAATGCACCAGATTTGTTGGTTCTGTGTTTTCTTCATTTTTTTCCTCCCCAGGATGATCAGCTGAGCACACAGCTGAAGTTCTTGAGCATCACTGGCACAATTCAAGTACCAGAAAAGCCATTCAAGCACACATTCAGTGTGAAAATTTTAATTCTGCATCTTTTAAAGGACAAAAAAATGAATGCTCAGAAATCATATGTGAAATCCTGATTCAGCAACATCTAATGGGCAAATGGAGTATCTCCATGTATGCATCTGGAAATAGGCAGAGGAGGATGAGAAGGAGTCTTCATCTAATAGCAAAAAAATGAAGATGCTGTTTCCCTTGCTGCTATCAAAACCACTGGTTTTTCTTTGTATTTTTAGGTTTTCTTTTCCAGTTACAGAGCCCTCCATTTCACATCTGAGACTCGCTCAGCCATCCCAGAAGTCTGAATGAGGGAAACCACAAACTGATATTAGATTTACACAGTGGGTAGGTTTTGTTTCATTTAAAAACAGCATCCTGGGGAAATCTCTCAGTGGCAAAAATGGCATGAGAAGCACCAGCAGTGAATAGAGCAATGGAGTTCATAGGGTTAAACCTATTGTTTTCAGGGATTGATTCAATCCCATTTTTGTCAAAAGGTTTAAGGTCCAGGACCCCCTTCCCACTAGCTATGAGGAAGGGTAAGGAGCCCACAGTAAACTCATTTGGGCCTTTTAAGTACAACATGATTCATATTTGTGTGCAGCCTCTGTCATGGGTTGTGCACAGCCCACTGCCAGAACTCCTGTCACCCTCTCAATCTTGCACCAAAGGGGGCAGGTGGACAAGATAACTTAATAGCTCTTATTCATTTGGAATTTCTCTGGTTATGGGGTAGGTCACCTTGCTCAGTGAGAGAGGGAAAGCATTTAAATCTTCAGCCCAAACTCATGCTTTGATGTAAGCAAGTTTTACAAAAGCTGGACTTAACATTTCTTGCTGTCTTGCAGTTTCTTGAGGTGTCCCTTCATGAGGGTGATGCAAGGGCTCCAAGGGTAACAAAAATAATAATCCACTGTGTTCCTTCAAATGACGTGAGAGTAAAAATTCTCACCAGGTGACTTGCATGAGGGATAGGAGCTGGTTTAGTGTCTGAAAAGATGTGACTCTGTGTTGTAACCAGACTTAAGAGGGGTTCCCACATCCTCACAGATGAGGGGTAGGGGGGCAGAGCATAGCCCATCCACTCCTGCAGAGACTAATCTGCATCAAATCATGCAATCAAACTACTTGATTGCTGGTTCAGTTCCAGTTGAAGTGAACACTGAAACCTGGGAAGGATAAGAAACATGGGGTTTATTATTATTATTGTCTTCCTGGGTATATTATAATTTCCTTTTTTAGAATTCTATGCAATTTCTAAACATGGAATCACAAATATTAGTCTGGATGAAAGAGAAAACAAACTTCTACATTTGAATACAACTAAGCATCAAATATTACAAAGGTATTAACAAATTCTCATGACATGAATGTCCTTGCATTTTTATACCATGAAACATGTGAGCATCTGAAGTACTATTTAAATGTTATGGGGTTTTTTTTGTTTGCCTGTTTGTTTTCACAATTCTTCCCGTGGTGATCCCTAACTGTTCTAGTTGCTAGTACAGGCATCATCATGTAGTTACATGCCAAAATGGACCAAAAAAAAAAGTGCAAAACATTCCCAGATTTTTGAAGCTCAAATGGAATCAATATAGCTTGAGAAAAAAAAAAAAATAAAAAAAAAAGCTACACTGGTATTTTTCACATGCACAAACAAAATCACCATGTATTTTTTCACTGCAAAAATTCAGTTGTGATTTTTGCACAAATTTCATTAATAAACAATACATCTGTCACGATTTTCATCCAAAGAAGGGAAATCACCTAAAAACTCTATTTAATTAACCTTTACAGCCCCCTTGTGAGCTTGGCATTATTATCTCCATTTCACAAATGGGCACATTGAAACACAATGAGCTTAAGTGACTTCCTTACAAGTAAAACTACATAGCAGGTCAATGGCAGAGCTTGGAATAGATCCCAAGTCTCTTGGGCCCTGGTCCCATGTTTTAAGGGCTATAAGCCTGGCCTTCTTAAAATGGGTGGTGTTTGAGATCATTATTTTTTGTTGTATTGAGCACAAGGTGCTCACATCTGGGATAAAACTCTGGAAAGCATCTGAGAAATGCTGTGCAATTTGAGCATCTAAAAGAGCGTCTAAGAAAGAGAAACAAGCTCTTTCATTTTGTTTAAGGGCTGTACACAAATGTCTCTGGTGGAAAATAAGGAGTCTTTAAGAATGATGTGTGACTTCTAGTGATGGAGCCTGGGTTAGCAAGGGTATTTATTTTTCCCTTCATTAAGAAACAACTTATCATTCCAGTAAAGGAGCTGTTAATGAGTTTGTTCACACTCGCTGAGAAATGACTGCAGGATACTCCTCAGAGAACTTACTCTGAATGCATGCATAAACCAGCCAGAGTCTAGGTACAACCAACAACCTGCGGAGGGAGAGGAAGTGCTTTTGGATTTCTGCCTTTCCGTCTGTTTGCTTCTTTGTTTGTTTTTCCTCCCCCTCCAGTGCTGTGGCACAGATCTGTGAGGAAACCGGCAGATTTGGGGCACACAGGTTGGGGTCTGCGTTCCTGGAGTGCCACCAGGTCTGTGCATGGGGCACAGTGACAGCCTGGCACTGCCACTCAGGTGGGGAGGAGGGCAGGAGGATCTGCTCAGTCTGCAGCTCACCCAGGCAGCCAAGATCTGCTCCCCAAACCATCAGGAGAGGGAGATGCCTC